CGGGTCTACTAAGCAACAGTGACAACTACAACAAAAAAAGAGCCAGGTGTTGTGGTGGATGCCTGTAGTCCCAGCTACTTGGGAGGCTGAGACAAGAGAATTGCTTAAGCCCGAGTTTGAGGTTGCTGTGAGCTGTGACGCCATGGCACTCTACTGAAGGTGATATAGTGGGACTCTGTCTCAAGAAAAAAAGAAAGAAAGAAAAATAGCCCTTTTCCTTTTCGCCTCTCTTCTCCTCACACCCCCTTCTGCCCAACCATCCCCACTCCACCACTGCCCGGCTGGACCCTTGCACGACACTGCCACCCAGTGGCTGAGCCGCCAGCAGACCCTAAAACAAGGACTCAGGTTTTCTGAGACCACCAGAGAGCATCTGTAAGCCACTCTTCAGAATTTCAGATAGGTTTGCTCACAGATCTGCTCCAAGGACACAGACACAGAATGCACATTCCCACCCAACTCCTTTGGCTCCATCAGGAACTGAGGATCGAGTAGGCTGGGTCTGGAGGTGTGGGTAGAGGGGGTGACCTGTGGCTGGGGGCAGTGGTGGGCAAACACATTCCCTGAGTCCCAGACACATACCCTGCCTGGCACCACCACGGAGACCACAGTTCTGTGCTCTTAGTCACCCTCTGATGTCTCCAATGGCAGAAACGCTATTCTCTTGGTTTGGGGCTTGTTTTCACTAATCTTAAGGCAGCAGCAAGGATCTCAATCTGGAGGGCAGATAGCCACAGAGGGGCAACATCAAAACAGCACAGGCCCAGGCCCTTGAGTTTGCTTCCCCCACCTTCCCCTTAACCCTACCACAACGCCTTCCCAGAGGTCAGAAGTGGAACCTGAGAAGATGGGGTTTTGGTCAGTCTGGAGGTGCTGTCCAGGCTCAACATTGGTCTGCAGAGAGCTCCTGTGTATGAGGGATGGTGGGACAGACATGGACAGATGAGGCACAAGCTTGGATGCCAGAGACAACTATGACAGATGGGTTGGGCCAGGCTTAGTTTGATGTCCACCTAAGACAGGACAGGCCCAGTATCGGGGTGTGTCCCACCAGGAATGGGCTGGAGGGGCCAGGCCACAGGAGCACAGATGAAGGACCAGAGTCCGCAGGGGTCATGGCAGAGTGCTGAGAGAGAAGGGACACAATCCAGGAGGCGGCTGAGATGCAGGCCTGAGCCAGGGCAGCAGACATGTCTGTTCCTAATCCCAGTCCGTCCAGGGCTGGGCAGACAGACAACATGTCTGGAGTGGTCTGAGCTGGACCTGGGTCCCTGCCTGCTGTCCAGAGAGATGGTGGAAACAGAAGGCAGAAGATGACACTGGACACACCACCACTTGGTGAGTATCCCAGGGGAGGCAGCAGGTGCAGAGCCAGGCATCCTTGTCTTCGACCAACGTAATGGACAAGGAAGGCTGCAGTAGCCTGGGAAGGAGGAACATGTCTGACAACAGACGGCCTGAGAAAGCAGAGCCCTGGAAGCTGCGGTATGCAGCAATTTCCAAACTGAGCGTGCAGCCACCTACAGATGCTGCCCCCATATGCTGCTGCCTCCCCCACCCCCGAGACCGGAGCACGCAGCCACCTGCAGATGCTGCCCCCATATGCTGCTGCCCCCCGAGACCTGA